AATGTCTAATATAAATATAAATACTAATAATATCTGCAAAGGAGGCTAACATACAGTATAATACTTAACGATTKCTAAACAAACTTCTGCCTGGCACAATAACTCACAAACGCTGTAAACATCAACATGGTGACTTTAGATGCCCCCTCGTTATTCTACCACACCCTCTCCCCTATTGATCTACRCCACAGAAAAGTCAACATAGTACAATCTACAAACCTTGTTGTCTCCTGTAATAACAATCACCCTTATTCCAGCATCTTCACACTTTTCTATGGCARCTGCTACTTCAGTACGAGGTGGATCAAGCATACCTGCCACACCCACAAATGTCATGTGACTCTGAAAGAGCAAATATAATGATTTATATAAACACTAAACAACAATATAAGCATGTACATATAGACCACTAAAACTCAATAACTGAGTATTCTGGAAAGATCAGATACTGAAATCTCACTTATCATCAAGTGAAGGGGAATCCAGTAAAGTATCATCATTTCAAGTTAACATATTAGAAGACATTATCAAAGTATCATTACTCCATACAGCTTACTTCATAATTGATAAAATTCTCAGAAGCTTCCAAGTCCATGTCACCGGGCGATATTGGCTCATCTACGGTTGCTAAGGCCAAACATCKAAGGGTGTCGGCTCCTAGAATTGTAGCAGTATGTAAGTACTGATTAACAAACACTAGCAGAGAATGATGCTAAGCAGTACTTTATGACAAATTCTTATGATGTGACTTAGATTGAAAATGAACTGCAGGACTCAGATAATCTCATCATGTTTCTTAAGATGGTCGTGGATACCTGTTCCATATTGCATTACAAGTTCTGTGATTTCTTGCTTCAGTCTGGGTGTTAATGTTTGTTTTGTTTTTCCTACTCGAACAAAGTCACATCTCTCAAGAATGCTCTCTGGRGCACCCTAGAAAATAAACAGAATGTCACAATTTAGATTACAAGTTGCAAAAACAAAGGAGCTAAAGAAAATGTCATTGAAAAACCTTGTGTTTTTTGCATTGCTAAGCAACCAACCCAGACAAGTTACAACCATGGCAACAGACTATAACCACTGTTGGCATTGTTTTTGAATCAACTGGTAATAATACCAATACTCTTCGCTAATAAAATTATTTKCCATTTCTTGTGCCAGCCTTTGTCACACAGCAATGAAAACAGAAGTTACCATTATGGTCTGTAGCAGTTCAAACACCCACTTACACCTCCCTTGATCACAATTATTGCTAATAATATCAAATAATTAGTGTGTTATAAACCATAATAGTCTGTTATACCTTAACAAACATTTTGGGATCCTTGCCWAGAACACTGTTAGGTCCATTGCTATTTGGTTTACARAAACAACTCATGGATTTCCTGTCTCTGGAGAATTCAAGAGTGAAGTCCTACAAATGAAGAASATATCAATGGTATAYCAATTCATGGAATGAAACCTCTCCMCTAGGGAGTTCAGCTATKTCCATGACACCTCTCCAGRCTATACCTTTTGGAAATGGTTCTTGATGTCTTCATTACAAGCATGAGCTAAGTCAGCTTTACTTTTACCAGCCAAATTAAGACCAAAGACATTCAGCTTCTCTACTAGTACTGACAGGGCAGTTTCTGTGGACTCACCAACCTTCTCATAGCTCTTTTTGACCTATAAATATTGTTAGAAATTCTGTGAGAAATACAATTATTATGAAGAACAAGGAATACCAACATGTAAACACTTACACTATTGAAATCTAAGCTGGAGTCATTACATAATGAACAAATACATGCAAACTCTGGTAAGGCATCATATTTTGATACATCAATTTCTTCCCCATTCTCAGTACTGTAAATGATAGAAGATACAATTAAATAACACTTGTCCAAGACACATTATCAAGGCAGCAATAACTGTGTCACATACATTTTTCCAGTTGGATTATATGTTGTTCCCTCCACAACAAATTGATGGAAATCTGCATGCCCTCGTTTCACATCCTTCAGAATGAAAAACTGAAAGGAAAATAACAAAAACCTMTTTATCAGTATGCATGGAGAGCATTGGTAGTTAAAAAAGCAAGTAGTTAAAAAAGCAAGGGTTTTGATGTCAAGACAGAATGATTTTTTCACTTCAATGAMATAGAATTTATCAATTATTTTACTCTCACTTGGATACAATGGACTTGTGACAATTTTTTATTATATACTCAAGAGATTTTGTGCATCTAGTGTGGCCAATGACTATGTTATTTGCACAAGTGACAGCTTGTGCTTCCCCTATTTTTTAAGTGTTCCCATCACTTCCCAGAATGMTCTATTACTAAATGGAGCACAGAAAAGCACCATTGATTTTGTTATACAAATCATGCACCCTCCTAACATTAGCTTTCCAAGTATGCTGAACTGAACAAAATCTTTTGTGAATTCAGATTGTCTGTTATGATCATAAACTAACCTTGTGGACTGACATTTGATTCGTCGTCAATGTCCCTGTCTTGTCAGAACAAATCACAGATGTACAACCAAGAGTTTCTACTGAAGGAAGGCTTCTTACTATAGCGTTTTTCTTAGCCATTCTGTGGGTTCCTATGAATATCAATGTGAAAGAAACAATTCCTTTTAAGTCCTAATAATGAGTGAAAATATTTCTAAAAGACAACATTAGAAGCATTACCGATAAATCTTAAAAAATATATCAAGCCATCATCATGTGTGATACATACCTAATGCTAAACAYGTAGTGATAACAGCTGGAAGACCCTCTGGAATTGCAGCTACGGCTAAAGCTACAGCTATTTTAAAATAGTAAATGGCGCCCTAGTAAAAGAATCAAATAAAAAATGTCTGTATGCATAAATTATTAAAACATGGAGATGATGCTGTTCATAGGCTAATGGTTGTAAATAATGAATAAATATTGCTGCAATTATCATTGCAATCACTGTTATTATGACAAACCATTTATTCTAATAATAATCTAATAAATGTTACCTTGATCCATGATCCTCCATGAATAGGATCATTAAAGTGRCCAATATTAATGGCCCATACTGCTATACAGATTACAGAGATCACCTATTATATAAACAACAAACAACACATCAGTATTGGTTGTTTTTATTGATAATATTGTCATAAGTATATTCTCAGTAAATCATATACTTTGAATGTCCAAGAAAAACTGTGCGTAATAGCTGGTAAATTACCAGAAATCAATCTACCTTAGATAGTTGTTCTCCAAATTCATCAAGTTTCTGTTGAAGTGGAGTTCTTTCACCTTCTGTATCYACCATTTCATTTCGAATTTTTCCTAAAAGACGTATCAGTTTATTAGTGACTTTGATACCGGTACCCACAAGAAAGCAACTGTACTGACAGAGTAAAAATTCTGCCACCTCATAAATAATTACAAACAAAACTACTGTCTAAAAGCTGATTTACAGTGTGACCTGTTGCATGAAACCTATAGCTCAAGACAGAATCCTATTTTGTAAACTGCTTTACAAACAGCCACGAGTGACTGATGTCCACAAGCTGAAGAGGTGACAGAATTTTTACTCTGTCAGTACTATACTAACATGGATGGCAAAAACCAGGAGGCAATATGTTATTTTTAAATAACATATTAAAACATTTCACCACTTTTGAGGCACTAATAAACAATTTGTGGTGAAAGGGTTAAATGCAAAGCAGTACCCCCTCCCCTCCTGTACCCTGAGTAACTAATGACCTATAAAAATACATTATACCTATTTCTGTGTTGACGCCAGTACCAATAACAACACCACAGCATTTACCAGAGGAAATATTGGTTCCCTGGAACATATAAAGCAATAATCAACACCTCAAGCAATATAACGAAGTGTTGTAACGTTTATAAGTGATTTTACTGGATCAGTATGTTATGGTATAATCACTAGCAGTCAGGTGAAACACGGAACATAATCACATCATGTCCAGTAATCATAAATCTATTACAGAGAGGATTAAAAGAGATTACAACTATGTAATTAATAGAAGATAASAAGATGTCTTGAAGGCTCCTTAAATTTACAATTATCACCCAACTAAATGATTTCTATTTGAGAAATGGTTTTATAGTAATAGCTTGCAGAAACCCACTATTAACGACACTACAATTAATCCCAAGACAACATAAAATCTTGAAAATAACTCCTTGCCAGCAGRCATTCATTATCACAAGAGTTGATTATTGGATACTGATAGATATTTGCTTCTTTACATTCAAAATTTACATGATTAAGTTCACTTACAGAAAAAAGCATGTTWGTTTTATCTTGATTGACTGCTTTCTTGTCCAGTATTGCATCTGTGTGTTTTATTACGCTCATACTTTCACCTGKAATTAAAGAGAGTGAAAACTTATGAATGAAGTCACTGCAAATTCACAAAAATAGATGATATAGAGCTTTGTTTTCACATATATTCTTTCTATGAGTGCAAGGGAAAAACACTTCAGGTGAACACATTATTTTGAAACATTAAACATTGATATTRGCATTTATTGACCAGATGTGTTATGTCATCTGAAGAACTTTTCACATCAACAACATAACAATCATAATTTGCAGCACTCTCCAAAATAATCAGTAAAATGTAAACCATTTAGCAACATGTATGAAAGTTATTATTAATTTCAAAATAAACAAGACAAATAAATTTGCTGAGACAGAGATTCCTATAGGGGTGCACACAGGGATTCAGATTTTATCTTTTGTGTGTTGAAATTTTCAACAAGAGTAGATGAAATCTGCATCTCCAAGCAACCATGTAATCGACTGTTCTTAAAATTCCAGTAACAGATTGGAACAGCCTCAAATCTATGTGTAAATTGCTCGTTTATTCTGTTATATTCTATATAGGTTTGGTATGATTGTCTGCTTGAGAGGTCTTGAGGAAGATTGTTATAGTTGCCTGATGTTTCGACATCCTGCGTGGAAGTCATCTTGTGAAAAAAACGACTGTGAAGATGACTTCCACGCAGGATGTCGAAACATCAGGTAACTAAAACAGTCTTCCTCAATACTGTANTGAAACATTAAACATTGATATTGGCATTTATTGACCAGATGTGTTATGTCATCTGAAGAACTTTTCACATCAACAACATAACAATCATAATTTGCAGCACTCTCCAAAATAATCAGTAAAATGTAAACCATTTAGCAACATGTATGAAAGTTATTATTAATTTCAAAATAAACAAGACAAATAAATTTGCTGAGACAGAGATTCCTATAGGGGTGCACACAGGGATTCAGATTTTATCTTTTGTGTGTTGAAATTTTCAACAAGAGTAGATGAAATCTGCATCTCCAAGCAACCATGTAATCGACTGTTCTTAAAATTCCAGTAACAGATTGGAACAGCCTCAAATCTATGTGTAAATTGCTCGTTTATTCTGTTATATTCTATATAGGTTTGGTATGATTGTCTGCTTGAGAGGTCTTGAGGAAGATTGTTATAGTTGCCTGATGTTTCGACATCCTGCGTGGAAGTCATCTTGTGAAAAAAACGACTGTGAAGATGACTTCCACGCAGGATGTCGAAACATCAGGTAACTAAAACAGTCTTCCTCAATACTATAAACTTTGCTTCATGTATAATAATATATTTATGATAAACAGAATATCATGTGTTAGCTTTGAGTTACRGATTTTATCTTCTYGTGTTAAAAATCTCTAACTAGTTCGCTGTGCTCAGATCTTTTCAGCACTTGAAGATAAAATCTGTTTCTCTTTTYGCATTGCCTGTGTTGTGTAATAACCTGTTTGTAATTGGTATTACAGTTACAGGATATTTGAATGCTTCAGTGAGAAAGCAATTTAACACTTTGTCGGTATAAAACATAAAAATAATCAAATGAATATGTAAGTGAATCAATATAAGAATCAATACAAGTGTTTGTGATTAGACTCATAACATTTTACCAAAAAAAAACAAATAGCACCAGTGAATTATTTGGAATATATTCAGTAGACTAGAAGAAAATGAAAATGCAGAACTTTTTAAAATTTTGTTTGCTTTTAAAAAGAACAAATTAAATAGTACAATAACTTTTTTTTTTTTTGTTGCATTTTTCTCAAATGAGAAATGTACTATACACTATTAACTTAGATGTGTGGGATATATAATGATAATTGCTTGCTAATGACCGAATAGTACCCCAAATCTTAATAGACTATAAAACACAGAAACTGTGTTTTTTGATATTTGTTGTTTAATATCCTTTTCTTGGGTGAAAACCAACAGACATTATAAATAGTGAGTRCATGAAATACAATAATTTGCTGTTAATGGTTTTGATATAATGACCTATATAGGTGCTCCCCTTAAACTTATAAACTATAAAAAGCTGTTTTTTTAGTATCATATTGTTTTAGGAGAAAAGTAACAAAAAGGGAGTGTGTGGGATGTGTAATGATGATTTCTTTTCATTAATGGTTTTTATAGTGCACTTAGTAGGCATCCCTTATCATAATTATTCATTAATTCAAATAAAATACAAAATCAAATTACATGGTTTCAGACTATCTTTGAATGACCACCTTGATATGGTTGGTACCTTTTCCTGTGATTAAATTTCCATTTTGTTTTCCATATGATCTTTCTTGTAAGAGATCACTTTGCTAAAGGGGTTGAACCACCTTTGGGCGTAATTTTTTTTCATWATTTTCATCGAGTTCCCTCTCAAATAAGRTGACAATATTTTCTGATTACTGAAGAATGACGTATCAGCAATACGGTGTTTATCCTATTGTCCGAATTCTTCTAGCATATTCTTTTTTTTATGAAGGCAGTTTAACCACTTAAATCATTACTTCTATTTAAAAGATTTGTTGGATTCCTGTTCCACTTTTTCCTGACTTTAAAGTTGATTATATATAATATTATACATAATCATACGAGGAAGTAGCAGATCCCATTAAAGAGTGCTCAATACACATATAGTGTAGAGCTAAGTATATATATATAATATTAAAATGGTGGGAACTATATATAATATTATATAACTTAAAATTATCGAAAAATGTCTTCAAAAAATTGCTCAACTTTGTCAAGAAGCATTTGYATATTATATCAATTTATCATAATACACTATTACTTCTATTCACAAATATTCCAATTAATTCAAACTGCCTTGCTTCACGCACCTGTTAATATAGACTGGTCAACCCTCAGTGTTGTAGACTTGATATTGGTGATACGTATGTCTGCAGGCACTTTGTCTCCGACTGTAATTTGACAAAAAGAGATTAGGTATAAGACTAAGCTTTGGAGATAAATCCTGATTTAACTGAATAAAAGAAAAACTAGACATCAGTGACTTGCTGTCATTTGATAAAAAGAGAACAGACTAGAGATTAAACTTTGGATGTAGATACTGATTAGCTAATGAAAGAAAAACTAAGACAACAGAGGCAAAATTTTGACAAGGTTGGGCATGATTATTAGAGAGAAAAAGAAGTGGTAAGCTGTAAAAAAGGTTACTCAGAGAGCACAAGAAATAAAACAAGGAAATCTTGGACAATTATCAACTGATTAATTCACAAAATAATGAACAACATTTTGGTTATTTATGTTAATAAGGTGGTTTTCGTTTTTCATTTAATTAAAATAAAGTCAACTAGAAAATTTGAACAAGATGTGTTGATTGTTAAATTACAAGGTTTTTAATTTGTATGGCTAAGAAAACTGCAAGTGGGACTTTGACAGCTAAGATCATTACATCCAGTTTGAGCTTAAGTGAAACTGACCAAAAATATTTTAAACCCCAATTCATTTGAGTTKAAAAGAAGATCTTATATTGTGTTGGAAACAGAGATATATGACACACTGATAGCTTTATTAAATAYTTCTGCACAGGCTCATGGAATATGATATAGTTAAGGTGAACATCTAAAAATACAACCATSCATAAAAAGGATTTTATTAAGTGATTACCCATCTTTATTTCATGACATAAAAAAAATAAAACTGCCTGAAGCTGACGATATGGATATTATCTGATCACAAGACTGAGTAAAAGCTGTTTATCTAGTGGTCGGTAAWAGTATRAACTGCTAAAGCAAACAACATTTTAGCAATGGCTATGGCAAAATGCAGTGAATGTTTTTCCTTAGGAGCAACATTCAAATCAGAAGTAAATAAATTACACATCGAGAAACACATCGATGCATTGCTGTGACATGTTACTATTACYATGGATACAGCATAATGCGAGCAATGACCACTATGGTCATTTATTTATTCAAAAAGTTAATATATARTGTGTAATCATCAAAACATCAATGAGGAAAATAGGAAGATTAAATTTTTTTCCACTCAACTGCTGGTTTTAATTCAAAACCAATTTTTATTTGCAAATATCCAATTCCCTTTGGCATCATACAGCTTACGAATTCATAGCTTTATGCTCAGTAATAATTCATAGTTTGATAACAACATATGATTTAATCTTGAAATATGACATTTTTCTGTCTCTTTCAATTCAAAAATCATAAAAGTGATGTGCTCTTTGAGGATTTGCTCTYGAGTAAAATTGAAAAGAAACTGCATGGGGTTTGTGATAAATTCAAAAACGAATTTACACAAAACAAGAAAAAAATATACAACAATGAGATTGGATACACACTGAAATTACATGAATCTACATGCAAATCTTTCATGGCAATTTGAAATATGATTTGTGTTTTTTATCAWAGCAAAGAACATTTTAGAAGTGCTGTAATAGATTGCCCTTGTGTAAGAAATATTTCATAAGTGYAAAATTCTTCAGAAGTTGAACACCTGCCTAATTTAACACAACGATGTTGTTGTTTGTCATTGGAAAGGATTTAGAATTTAGAAAGTTGATTACTGTAACAATACCATTATATACGAGTATGATAATGCAAATTTAGATATCAATGGAAAAAAAAACAGGTGACTAGAATCGAAATAAAAAAATAATAATAATAAGTGATTCACTAAAAACTTAATATCTCAATTTAACTTTCTACAATCAAAATAAAGTAGGATTACTATTGATAGCATCTAATTTTAAGGTCAGAGTTAATATTTTAACCCCTTAAGATAGAGAGAACTTAAGAAATTGCATGCAATCGTGTGAAGCTGAACACCTTTCAAAATGCCCTTTTTTTTATACAAAATGACAAAAGCAATGATCTATACAATAAAAGGTGTGTGTTATCACAAGTGGTGGAGATAACCAACAGACAACTAGTCTTGGAGCAAGAATTTCTGTAGGAAAAGCTTGATATAAAACAGGTATCAAACATGGTTATTAGATGGTCAAATCCTATCGAATCAACACCTTCATGTGGACATTAGACTGGATCAAAACAGACACTTGGTACTGTGTACACCTTTGCTTGATGTAGACTGAATTGTGTACAAAACCACAAGCAGTGAAAAGCTGAGGTAATAAATTGATGTTTCTTGCAAACAATCAGTGGAAATTCAAAGGTGTAAAATGRTAAAATAATGAGAGACTGACATTATGCTCCACTCATAGAAAATCTCTGGTTTGTGGAGAATATTGCCCATATTCTTTTCAAACGAATAAAAGACATAGACTAGGTTGATGGTCTCACCTTACCCATTAAGGAATTTATAATACAAATAAAATAGTGATTTCAAAACAGTTTTCAAGACTGTAAGAAWACATRGGAATGACACACTGTCATTGCAAAAGCATAAACCAGCTAATGTATGGATGGTATTCTTTTCGTTAAACACAAACCTAATTTAGTCTTCAACAAGATTATCATAAATCAACTAAAAATACTTCTACAAAAAGTAAACAAGTATGGTAAACAACTCAGCTAAACATAATCTTGATCAGAATGTCGATGAAGCAAGTAATACATTGAGYACATTTCAACATAAAATGGGGAAAAATGAGAAGAAAGTAGGAAGACTCAGGCTTGGAGACCATAAAATGTCTAAATTACACAGTTGAGGATTTTGTAGTTTAGATAAACTGTCAACGCCAATAGTAAACAAAACAAAATCACAGGGCAAAAGAAACACTTCGGTTGGGTAAAAATGCAATGGGAAATTTTCARCACATACAGTGGTATTACAGTACCTGCCACTTCCACAATATCTCCAGGAACTAGTTCTCTGGCTTTGATTCTTTGTACAACTGGTCTATCCTGACGCAGCACTTTAGCTATTTCTGGTTCATATTCTTTTAAAGCTTCTATTGCACTCTCTGCACTTCTTTCCTATAAWAGAGTTCAATGTTTTGATTTATTAAACCCTCAATCATGAAAAACAAGGTCGACCCTGGAAGTTATAATTGCTGTAACATGACTAAACATTTTGACAAACCTGCCATACACCGATGATAGCGTTCAAAATGAGAATAATAAGAATGACAAGCGGTTCAACGAATGCTGTGGTTTGATCTTCACCTTCTTCGAACAATGCTAAAACCTAAAATTATACATCAGAGAAATTATTAGGATTCAACAAGTTACACTTGTTCAAATACAATTTTAGATGCACACACACACAAAAAAAAATACTTACAAACGATATAACAGCAGCAATAAGAAGAATTTTAACCAGCAAATCGTCAAACTGCTCCAAAACTAGTCTCCACAAAGGCTTCCCTGAAAATTTTATTAAGCAGGAATATCAACAATTAGAGAGTCTTTGTAAAAGCTCCTAGGAAACTTTACAATGTCGGAAAAGCACAGCCAATATTGTGTTAGTGATAACTCGTTTCTTATCTTACCTTCTTCAGCGGGCAACTCTATTAATCCACAAAGAGAGATGATCGGAAGGAGAGAATTAAAAGAAATCAGTAATTTCAGGACATTTTGCGTCGACGAGCTATGGCGCAAACACCAATTCAACCAAGGTGTGTTTACCACAACACGACAATCAAATAACATATAACGTCAATTAAAATTGGAAATCTAACTCACCATTTGGGCCATGAGTTTCTTGTAATTTTTTAACTTGTTCAGAACTCAGTCCTTTGGTCTCTGACACGTTCAAATGTTTCAAGACTTCGSCAACAGAATATGTATGCGCTGCCTCCATTATTGGCCTTCAGCTGCTCGGTTTCCACGCTGTTTCTATATAAKTTTATGTCAGTTGMTTCACTTCAGAATGCCTGCTTAGGTTGTGCAATAAAAATGATGTATTTAGTGGATTTAAAACATTTTTCAAGTGAAAACCGGTGTCCTTCAATCAAGCATGCTCCAGTTTGTTGAACGGAAAAAGCCGCTTTACAACCTACACGCGGCCTGGACGCGGCCAGTGCTTATTGGCTTAGCCAAGGTCACGTGTTTCTCAAACAAAGCGTATTCTGCGTCATTTCCGCTATTTTTAATCATGAACTTTACTCTCGGTACCAGAGGTTGGCGTATGAAATATGCTATGAGAAATAGTCGATGAGTCATGGAATTACACGCTAAAATGCCAGTATCGCATGTACAATTTTTTTCAAAGCAAAGCAATTTTTTTTTCTGTTATGTAATTGAATGTAAAATATGAAAAAGTGATTCATTGTTTTTTTTTCATTTATATTTCAGTTGTTACTGGCACATGATGTCAAGTTTTGTTTACAACACTAAATGAATGGATGCAGCAGTTCTGGTACAAACATTCAACAAAATAGTGATCCTGCTGAATTACCCACAATTAAAGGATTTTTTTTAACCTGAGGACTAATTTCTATCAACTATATGATAAAATTAGCATTGATTAGACAATACACTGGGTCTGCTGAGCTGTCAATAGAGCATTTATTCCAATCACATTGATCCTCAAATATATTCAAACAGGAAGGAGCCCTGAGAAAATCAAAAGCTGACAGAAAAGGCACATTACAKCACCCTATTCTAAATCTCGAAGATTGCACAATCAGTATGAATAAATTATGAAAACACATATATTTTCTTGTCAGTCACAAAATGAACATCTTTCAAAATAACTTTGATAGRACAGAATGGTATCTAGGGGTAAATTTCAACAAGTGTCATACCCTTGAAACAGCAACAAAAGAGCCACAAACTTGCTACAAATGAATATCAACTCTATCATATATCATTTGACGAAAAGGATAAAAACCTAAAATATCAAGACACAGGAAGTTTTGAAATGCAGAACAAAACTTATCCTAAAGTGTATCAATATCGATTTCACAATTTTATGACTTATGGATCATTCTAGTTGCAGACCTTATTTTGATTATCTTGTTTTCAACTGGAGCATTAATCACTAAGAGTTAGTGTTTAATTGGTCAGAGGTGGGTTATGACTCTTGATTYAACATCTATTAAGATAGGCTGATTCAGTTGAAAGAGTTCTCTGCCCTCAAAAAATTGAACAAAAACTAAACGGGTTATGGAGTCAGTCTACAGAGTAGCTTTCACTGAGCTGTGAAACAATTATAATTTTAGTTTTGACTAGCCTGCGTGCAGCCGAACCAAAACTTGTTGTTATGTTCAGACGAACATAACAACAAGTTTTGGTTCGGCTGCACTCAGGCTAGTTTTGACTAATAGTCAAAATTTCAGTGAAAGAATAATTCTTCTTTATGCACAAAATCTACTTGTCTATTTAGTTTAGTACCTTCTTCAGTCTGGCGAAAACAGCTTTAAGATTTAGAATTTGCAAATCACTGCCTATCAAGAGCTCGACAGTGGCRAAAGACCCAACACTTGCTYTTCTCTCAATAGACTTCTGTTTTTAWGATCAATCTCATCTTTAGGGCAAGTTTTCAATTAATCCCTTGAGATTCTAATAACAAAATACCAGCAGCTGCATGGGTGATAAGATCAACAGATACCAATCACCAATATCATACATGTTTTAATGCTTCCTTCCACTGCAATGTTGTCATGCTTTTGTTTACTTGAGCTTCAATTTATGAACTMACCAACAAGCTARASAAATTCCATTAYAAACTTYCTAGAAAAATTTAATTTYCACYTTGTTTTCAAAGAAGATTTGTTGCTATCATTACCATAGTACACAATGTGAAATTGAAMGTTATTGCCAAATATAGCCTCTTAAGCAGGCATCTGTCTACTTTCTAATACTGGGCTGCCTGTGTTAGATCAGAAAGAATACAAAATATTAAAAACTGAAAAAGCGGATGCCTGCAGAGGAGACTACAGTGTACCAAATGGAGCATTTCTGGTATTTACAATATTGCACAAATACACAAAGTTACACAACGCATCTGATGAATTTAAAATRGTTTTTGAAACTTAAGAAGTATATATTGCTTGAAAGTATCTTACAAGTTCAGTACAAACAACAAATTTGGATCTATGTACAGTGTCCGACTATCTTAGTCTAATCTATTTAGACTTTGTTGAGGAACTAGATGTGAAGTTTTTACAAAAGTTTCTACTTTCGTCGTTGGAACACATTYCCCCCTCTTCCAGGAGGACCTCCTCGTCCAGTGCCKCCTCTACCTCTTGCTGCAGCTGTAGGATAGAAATTGAAAATTAAGACTGGAAAACTGTGAAATAGAGAGTAGCCAGTGATGATGTGTGAACAGTTTTAATGTTCAGATGGTAGTGCATGTGATTCTCATTCATGTCACCTTCTGACTTTGGGTGAGAAATTATCATCATAACATTTCTAAACTGTTGCAAAAAATATATATACGTAGTAGAATTAACATAAGCAGTGAATGGATACAAACCTTGTGCTCTTAAAATTGCTGATTTCCCTCGGCCTGCTGCCCCAGTACCGCTTGATCCCTTCTGTGTCATTTTCTTGAACATTGGAGCATTTTTCAACATGTCCGGTAAAATAAGAAATCGAATTTTGCTTCCACGAATAAATACTTGTTCGAGYAACGAGACTCTTCCATCTCTTGCTGTAACAGTAATGTTAGACATTTGGCAGTTCATGTTATCTTCTGCTTCGATAAGTTTGCCTCTGTATACTTCTCCATTTAACGTTTCCAACGTTATAACGTGACCTTCGGCTTCGTGTAAAATCTTGATTGGAACTCCAATAGACATCTTGAACTATAGAGTAGAATCTCCTAAATAAGCTGAGTAGGTTTAAATGATCATAGACAATATTTATAGACAAGGATGGAAAGGATTGTCCAAGAAATACTACAAACTTCACGCCGGCCAGAAACGAACGTTTTCAGAACGTCGAGCACGCGCAAAGAATAACGCTGCATARTAACGAGGCTAGAAATGCAGTTCCACAGGTAGCCCACCCAACTAATCAGCTTTTCACAGCGAGCGCGATTTCGACATTTTGACACTTTATTATTACTTGTGAGAATTGCTGAGAATTTTATCTGTGAAAGGACCAGTGGTGGACATTTTAATTACTAGCCGATTCCCCTCCAAAAAAGCACGTCTACTCCTACAATTTTCAAATTTAATAAACAACTCAAACAGTGTAATGAGCATKTTTTGGAGATTCAATTCAATTTCATAAAAATAATCAAATAAAAATGAAAATGAATAATAATAAAAATCAACTGAGCTGCGACACTAAGTGGAAAAGTACTTTTTATCACGTGATAAGTCAGACAGCCCGATCACATCATTCTTGTTTGAGCCAGTTTATAACCGGTTTCAAGGTCTAGAAGTTGATCAGTACGAAGAATACAGAATTTGATCTAAAAAAAGTTACTTTTAATGCACTTTTTATTGTGTTATGAAACGATAGACTGCTTCAGTACAACACATCATAAGAGGTTTAATGAATAGCTGTTATTCTTTTCCGACATTAGCATTCATAGCGAAATTCGAGACTACATTCTTATAAATCAGCGACGAAGTATTTTGCAATTCTCCTTACTATGATAACAAAGTCAGTAGAATGTTTCGTGTCGAGCTACACGTCTTGGCTAATCAAGAAAATAGGTGAACGCTGTGCTCCCTATTTCCCTGCAAATTTTACTGATGTTAAGGAATCTTATTCACATAAAACAGGAATATGACTGGGACTGTGGACTAGCTTGTGTCCGGATGGTCCTCAAGCAGGCTTCTGCAGGAACCTACAACGAAAGGAACTTCCAGAAAGCATGTCAGCAACTGGGCTTTGGGACCAACGTCTGGACCATCGATTTGGCTAGCGTTTTGACTTATTTTAACGCTAACTATATCTTCTACACTGAAACATTTGGAGTRGATATGAGTTATCAAAATAGTACCTTTTACCAAGATGCGTTTGAAATGGATGAACGTCGGGTGAAGCACTTGTTTTCGTGTGCTGAGGACCTCAACCTAAATATCAAGAAAAGGTTTGGACTTCAGCATATTATTATCACCTTTTTTGATTTTTATTTCGTATCTACAACTTTAAAGTGATCCGGATGATGGAAAGAAACAATTTTGAACTGTAAATTTTGTTGTAAATACAAAGCTATTTTAGCTGTTAGCGATCAATTCAGTGGTTTTGTCAAAAACCGCAAAACAGCGACAAAAAATAACACAAAAATGATTTTTAAATATTTCGTACAGTCTATACCATCAATGTTCAGATACATTTAAGTTGTTATTAATAATCGATTTGATGATTATAAATTTCACTGCGACGATTTCAATTCCATTATTAATGCAAATTTTTATAACCATCATTCCAGCAGTATTTGATGCTTATTTTGAGTTTTGAATTGGCAACCTTAGCGGGAATTTTAAAAACATTTTTTKGGGGAAGCTTGTATGATTTTGTTGAGTCGTGTTTATAATATAACTTGCGCGTACAGCGTTTTAGTGGCTGTTTTGATGTGATTGACCTCAATAATGATTCCCTGCCTTTTCACAGGCTATTACTTATCTAATGAATATTCATGACTTTTTTCGTGGTCACGGAACCCGAGTATGGCAAATCGTGAATATAACAGTCATTACTTATGTAATACATTGAAAGTGCATTACTACATGCTGTGCATGCATTAGCTGTGCATGCATTAATTGGCCTGTTAGCTCACACATTTATTTCGCCAGCTAATATTTTGCAGTTGTCACATTCAAGTTGTTCATCAATCACAGTTGTTATATATGCAAAATGATGTGACAATTATTCCAATTATTTGTTCATTACATAAAGTGAACAGCTCAGAAATTAGAAACAACTCTGAAGTAACAGAATCAAAATCCCCTAATTTGCTTCATCAATGCAAACCTGACCCCTATTGTTGTTCCTAAGCAACAATTATGAAGCAAATACTGTGAAGTAACAACTCAGTGATTTATGTACAAGATGTTTGCAAGGGATAGTAATGAATGGAGACTTCTCTTTCCATCTTCTAGAGGAAGAAGATCTGGTTTGAAGAAGAAATCTATAATGAACAGAAATTGATTTTATTGTTACGCATCAAAGGCTATCTCAAAAATTTACATATTCAAGGTCTATCGACCATATCAACCTTATTGTACCATAGGCAGTTTTGAAATGTAGATGAATATCTGACTTTTTGCATGTTTCCATAAAGAACAATGGTGATCAATTCAAAGGCAGTTCTGCTTCTGTGGCAGATTTAGTGCAATGTTGTGCTCTTTTGATTTAATTTGTACATGATTTTCACCGACTAAATATGTTGACTCTAGTTGAAACAATTTATGTAGACTCTTTGCCAGAAAAAAAAACACCTTAATCATCAATGTTTTTCATTGTTTTTCAGCTCTATTTCTCTTAACACCATATGCAGTAACATAGACAATGGTCATCTAGCAGTAGTTCTTGTGAACAGTAACCTTCTTTATTGCAAATKGTGTAGACTAACAGATAGACATCATCAGCTGAGGTACTTGGTGCATAAGCTCAAAAAAGATKGCTGTAACTATAAAGAAGACTATGCTGGTCATTATATTGTTGTATGTGGATACAACCTCCAAGCAAAGTGCTTCTATTACAAAGATCCTTCTYGTGAAAGTGGTCTTTGTTGCATACCATTCAGAGAATTTGAACAAGCATGGCATTGCTATGGGACAGATAGTGACATTATATTCATTGATATGGAAGGTACTAGCAAGAATGGGCAAGAATAATCATTTAATTGATAATTTTGTTGAATGCAGTTCTGGTGTGATGTTATAAATCATGTTATAGCTTTCGATCAATTAAGCCTTGGTCTGGATATTATGCTCAATAATATATTATTTGTATATTTGGTCAAGATGTTTATGGTTTGCCTAATG